TAAACCGGGTCAGACTGGGCCCCCTCTAAACCGGGTCAGACTGGGCCCCCTCTAAACCGGGTCAGACTGGGCCCCCTCTAAACCGGGTCAGACTGGGCTCTCTAAACCGGGTCAGACTGGGCTCTCTCTAAACCGGGTCAGACTGGGCTCTCTAAACCGGGTCAGACTGGGCTTTTTAACTCCAGGAACTTTATTTCAAGAACGGGTTTTCAGTCAGAACCGTTTTGACAGATTTAGAGAGTTTGACGTCAGAGGAAACTGGTTCTGGTTCTGGTTCTGGTCTGGTTCTGTACCTGAAGGTATAGTTTCCCGGAACCAGGCCGGTGAGGGTGAGGATGGGGGTGTCGGCTGAGACCTTCTCCTCCCTCAGGGGACCTTTGACCTCCTCCCAGTGCCACATCACCACCTTGTCGTCGTCGGTGCTCCCTGACAGAGGAAGAGGAGGAGGAGGAAGGTCAGGGTCTCCGTCTGCAGCGATCATGTTTGTGTCGTGTAGCAACAACTCACGGCTGCCGTCGATCACCGTGGAGCTGGTCGGCAGGAACAGCTCTTCGAACTTGGGGGAAACCACGGCAACGGGAGGCTTGTTTACCCGCGGCTCTGTCAGGCGGAAAACGAGGCGTTAGGAGGTCCAGTCAGAACGTGACTCATCACCACATGTTCTGCTGATCTGTTTGAGGAGCACAACTGATTGAGTTCCCTTTAAAAAACATCTCTGCAAAGAGGTTGGTAGGAGTGGTGCGCCCCCTGCAGGCCACGCCTCCAACTGCAGCCTCTGATTGGTCCTTTTTTTGTGTCCTGTTTGGCCAATAAAGCTCTGGGAATAGATGCCCCAGAATCAACTGATAGCCCAACGGCTTCTGATTTGGTTTGAAGAAATAGAAAATGACTCCATATCGTCACCAGGATGAGCGTGATAAATATGCTGCATGCATCATTTAGGGAGAGAACATCGGATCACTGCTGCGCCTCCTTCAGGTATTTACTGTCACAGGAAGGAGCTTCAGCAGGAGAATTAGTGTTGGAGCCGCTATGATTTAAGGAGGACCGGCCCTCGCCATGACATCAGGACCAAATGCCTGATCACAGATTAGCGGTCAGCCTGCAGGCTGCCTCTTTAACAGGAAGAGGAGATGAAGCAGCAGCTGAAGGCCTCAGCCGCCTGAGAGGCTTCAGGTTCTTCACAGAGCAGAAGAACCGGATCAGAACCATCCTGCTCTCACCTGGTCTGACAGTGACGTTGACGTAGCCCCGCCCACGGGCTCCTTCTCCCTCCACCGTCACCTCGAACTCATACAGGCCCACCGTCAGCTGCAGGAGACAGGGGTGAGATAGAACTAGATCAGGCAGAACTAGATCAGACAGAGCTAGATCAGGCAGAACTAGATCAGACAAAACTAGATCAGACAAAACTAGATCAGACAA